CACAAGTTCTCGCCGCAAGGATGCACCCAGCGATCCTTTAGATCAGTGGTTCCCAATCTTTTTTTATTTGCGGCACACATTAGGATACTTGAACTTTCCACGGCACACCTAGCCATTTACTTGCGCTTGCTTCGCTGAACACAGCAGTTTGATACGAGCCGTGATAGTGCAACTCGTTCGTTTTCCACTGAGATATGGCGTTCCCTCTTGCTTTTAAGTTTTTAAAGTTTTAGACAATGAATGAACCATTAAAAATTCGTGGATCACACGACTAAAAGGATAGTGTTATAAAATAAAAATTTACTTTGACCCAAAGGCGTGGGAGGGGGGGGGGGGGGAATTGGACAAGTGGGTTATGTCGTTGAAAGAATGGTTTCTTGTTCCATTCGTGAATTATTATCCAAAGCGATTCTCATCCCCCAAGCCTTATTTGTCCCCCCTTGTTTGGGGGGGCACACATCCCATATGTTCATCCCACTCCATTGTTACAATCCAGGAATCTGCAAAATGTTAATGCCTGTACAATGGGTATAAAGTACTGGAATTGTAACAATGCCATGAATTTACAGTGCAGGTTTAAACACTGCAGATGATGTGGGCGATGAATACTGTCACGACAAGCATCAAGGGTAGAGGCAATAGAATTTCGAGAGTAAGCGAAACGGGGGGTCGCCCCTTTTGGGGCAAGTTGCTTTCGCATCACTCTATATGTTGCATTTTTTTGCATAAATGACCCGAGCATTCCACTCTTCTGAAGTACAGCAACAGGGCGATGATATATCACGAAATTGACATTTCGGAAAAGGGGGCCGAAATCTCCCTGATAGGCACCCAATCTGTGTATATGAAGTGAGTGATGTCTAAATAGGTTTTATCCAACTCTCGCTCCCCGAAAGTCGACCAGATCTCACTCAATTCACTTTCTAGGCTCCGAGCTGGTGTAGCGTCTCCATCTGATGTGACTAGAAACCATCTTATTGACGAGTATTTTAATTATCAACAGACGAAATGAAAACAAGCTCTTCTCCAATGCTAAGAAGAGTTGATCAGTCGAATATTTGAAATTATATGGTATTTTGGTGGGTGATCGAGGTTTGCTAGGCCTAGCTCATGCCAAAGTTGGACAGGATCATATGCTCATAATTAGGCCTGAGCCTCTCTATCCGCCTCTGGGACACACGAATAGAGCACACTCAAGGTATTCAACAACAAAAGCCATTTGTTGCCTTGAGGTATAGACTATAGAAATAGACATGCTGCCTTCGTGGTCTCCCAAACGTCTGGGCTCATATGACACAATGCTTTTTCCCAAACATCATGTTTTCCGTCAATGCGTAGTCACGTTTTTAAGTGATCAAGGCACCTCTGCTGGGCTCTCCGAAGTACATCCTCAGGTATTCGGGTACAGACCAGCATGAGGGGAGGAGAGGGGGGGGGGAAGGAAACTCATCGACCATAACTTACAAATAAAGATGATTCCCTGGAGAGACCTCAGATACTCTGTAGGGTAGGTAAAGCCTCACGTTGGGCTAAAAGGGTTTAATCAAGTTGTTTATGGAGAAGAATGGGCACATGAGAACAACATGTGGTCTGCGGTCTCAAGAGCCGGAGGAATTCCACTCTGGGTCCGAAAGCGTTCGTACGGAAAAAGCAGGTGGCATTCCATTTTACGATTGCTGCACTTTCTCTTACCTGGCTGCCCCTGTTGTACCAGCCTTCGCCGTAGGTGGCAACCGTTCCCGATAGTTATTAGAGAGGTTTGGGGCATCCATTTTTACGAGGACGTGCACGTGAATTTATTCAATTTCCAGATTTTCAACGGGCATTTTGATTACTTGTTACAGATGTGGAACGTGGATGCACGATCTTCACAGATATCAGAGCGGACGATGCCGAATCTGAGATTATCTACAAACAATGGTTCAGAGCCATTAAGCAGTTGAAGCGATCTTAAAAACCACAAATTCTTCCATATCCAAATTCTATTTATTTTTCAAGTTTGAAGTAGATTAAAATGGCTTACAAAGGGAATTTCCTCTCCATTTCTTTTTCTGTTATGATGTTATCTGCTCGGGGAAATATACATATCTAAACAAAGTTGTCATGGTGACTATCTGCGAGAACAGCCACGTTGCAACCGCTAGAGCAGAAGATAAGTCTTATAATGCAATTCCATTCCCCACCTGCAAAGCGGATGCACATGGCACCAGAGAGAGGCCGATCAGAAGGGGAATGCAATCTGCCCACACGGCCCAGGCTGGCCCTTGAACCATCCCAGTTTTTCGCAAAAAAAAGTGGTTTGAACAGTCCTTTAATGCACTCAAATTCTGTACTGTCTCTTGTTTCCCTTTGGCTTTCCTCTATCACCAGCATTTCCTACGGCACTGCAAGTTTCCTCTGCCGTCACCTCGGAAGATCGATCCGGTGTAATCACCGAGTCTTTTTCTCATCGGAATTCAGCTACCCACTTCTTTACTGTGTTGTAGGATGGAGAATGATCCTCATGAACGTTCAGTAGGAGTGTTTGAATATTCTTTGGCCAAAAGTCTTCGGTAAAAACTTAATATTTGGTCTGAAAATAATGAAAATTGAATCCAACAAGAAAATAACTGTGACTCGTGCATCAGAATAGCTAAAAGCTTTTAACTTCGCGGAAAATTGCACTAGTTACATTACTGGCCGATACAATTGTTCATCAGAGGCCAATAGCCTTGGGTAGTCAAACCGAAAACTGATTGGGCAAACCTTGTAAGCTGTGGCGGCTCGCGATATTTAGGGCTAGTGGTTCGCCTATGGAGAGAGGGTAGGAAGTGCCTGCCCCTGCCTACCCCTCTCCATAGACGAACCACTAGCGCTAAATATCACGAGCCGTCACTGCTTATAACCTGCACCTTTCACTGTGCACGTCATTCTTCAGAACCCTACACTGTCACCACCATCCTATATACCACTTCACAGGGCCGGCGCAAGTACCTCTGCGTCCCCTGCGGCCGCAGGAGGCCCACGCAGAATCCAGGGGCCCCCAGCCCCAAGAGGAAGAAATAAATAATAATAAGATAGGAAGAACGAAAGAAACGAGAAAAAAAAACTTAGAAACGCTACGAGTTATTCCGAAAGAGATCCAAGCTCTGAATGAGACGAAGAATACTCCTCGGTCTTCCTACTCTGGACAGGCGAGAAGGCCGAGCTGGTTGAAATCCGTCACCGTCCTAAAGCATGAGAAGTATTCTTATTTATTTATTTTAATTCCTCCATAATTTCCGCATGAAATCCTCGCGCTTGGAGGCACTTGAGGTGAGAAAGGCGTCCGAGTATAAAGGTCTACCTCGTTTTCATCCCCCCTTGTCTCCCTTGATCACGCTGTCACATTTGAATTTAACAAAATATGGACATACGAAAATGTGCGCAAATATTCGAAGCATACTTGTGCATGCAGCTATGCCACAGATACCCAGAGCCATCTTAAGTCAAGCCGACAATTGATACTAAGAGAGTGTGGCCTACGGCTTTTGACTTCTGGAAAAGAGCCGTTTTAGCTGCAATTAAGCTTTATTAATTAAAAAAAGCTCAACAAGTTCATAATATGGACAAAACAAAGTCCATATTAAGACCAGTTTGCAGTATCTGAAATATGTACCATCGATCCTAATTATGAAAGGGTGGCAACCCTAATCATCGATGATACCCGTGCAAAGCTTAGGCACATTTAGCCAAGGTTAACCTCAATAGCTGAACGACTTCGTCGATGAGCTTCACAGTCTGGTACACTTCTACCAGAGCCACTTGATGCTCTTGGAACTCCGCGATTCATTCGCAAGAGTAGTCAGGCCCGTGCATCCCAACGTGTCCTCCAAGAGTAGCACTCTTGGAGTGCTACTCACGGCTCCTGTGAGAGTTGCATCTGCAGAAAGAAGCCTCTCCAAATCGAAACAGTTTATAACTTATCTAAGATGAAGCGTGCCACAATAAAGCCTGACAGGACTAGCTATACTCTCTATCGAGAGGGAGGTCAGCAGGTCATTGAATTACAAGAAAGTGATCGATGAGCTGGTGGCATAGGCTCCGAGGATACGAACGCTAAATCTTTGGACAACCTACACAGATTCCTCTCCTTTCTTTGCTTAATGAAAATGTAGTGATTTTCATTTTTTTTCCTGATGTAACTTCGATAATCGAAAATGAAATAAGGGGCAAATCTCCAAATCTCCGGAATCAAGAGGTGGCCCAATGTATTTGCCGCAGGGGGCCCCGCATTTTCCCGCGCCGGGCCTGCCACTTCAGGTGGGATATAGTTCAGACCAGGGATTCTCAGCCTTTTTAAAAATTATATTGTATTATTATTTTTTCAGTGAATCATTCCAGTGACTTCTCTGTCCCTTTGAGTCACCATTTCTTTCCAATGTACATCAAGAATAAGAAATATACTCAATTCAACATAAAACAAGCTTTTCCCTATGCACCACCAATCCAGAATGAAGTAGTGCATCATGAATATATATAATCGAGACTGTTATCTATACAAATAACATGCACTAGTCCATCCAGGATTGGTACTTACATTGATGAATTGACTTCAAACTTTCTTGAGAATTTTTTTCTTCTTCCAATTTTGGACATGAGTAGCATTCAGAATTTATTATTATAAAAGTGCAAAAAAGGTTTTCTTGAAACGAAGCCTACTTAGTAAGGCATGGTGAGGCAAAAAGCTATGGCAAACACTACTGCCTTGGATGACTTCAGTAGATGCCTGAACTAAGCCAGGATGATGAAAAATAAAGTCAATAAATATTCCTAATGTGTTTTCATTCTATATAAATAATGCAGACTGAAATGAAAAATGAAAATGTAAGCTATATGGAAACAAAGGCAAATTCATTTAAAGGAGTAAACATCTGAGATCCTTAAATGTCCATAAGCCACAGGTGTAATATAAGCATAAACCAAATGAGAATCAATCACAACAGCCAATGATGAATCATCAGCAAAGAACTTGGAATTGTGCTAAATATTACAAGAAATATCTGCTCATAATGTAGGCAGCACAACTGTTGCAAGATGCTGGAGATAACTCAGAGCACCTGTTATACTCATGTTCATAGCCATCCTCTGAAGCTTATTTCCCCTTCTTCTGCTTCAGCTTCCTCAAAACCCTCTCTTGGTGTTCCAGCTGAGGAAATAAGTCTGAAAGGAAGAGAACATCTTATGTTGCAATTACATTCACTCATTTCAGGCATTGAGGATATGGTTGATCCGAGTCACCAAACCCAGGTAGGGTGGACTCAGGACTTCTTTGAATTATTGTTCAGACACTTAACAGAGTGTGCAGAAATGATAAACACATGCATCTGCCAGCTCTATGAAATGTGGCATCATCCCATGCAAAGCTCCTTTGCAGGAGCAATGGTAAAAAAAATTTTTTCAAGTTCAAAATTGAGCTAATTTGTTGATTCTGTCCTGAAGTCTGAAATTCCAGAACATTGTGACAAAAAGCTGTTCTCCTACAGGGTTTATAGCCTCCATGAAACCAACTTAGTTTGAACTTCCAAAGGGCACTCACATTTTACAAAATGCAAAAAGCAATGGGTCAACTTAGTGCCACCAAGTATCGCTGAGGAATTTTCATGATGATATAGCCACACATACTCATTATGAATTAATGCTGTTTCATTGCAGCAGGGTAAACTTCAGTCAGTTCAAATTTCTCAACATTAATCAAATCAACCACTTTGAGAAAAATAAGCTTCTCTCAATAAAATTCATGTAACTTTGCTGAGTGAATCTAACTGCCTTTTACCAGTGCTTTTTGTGCTTCACCCAGTCCTACACATCACCTTAATCTGATTCTTATAATGGTTGAATAAGGCTCATGAGGTCTATAGCTGGGCAGAATTACTATTCTATTGAAGAATACTAAGACATGGTCAATACATTTTGAAATGTTTTTCATAATAGGCTCCTAGGTTGTTCTGAGTTTAACATTTTCACCATGACAAGGGCCAAGATGCCAATTAAGGCACTGTAAACTGTGCACATGGCATTCCATGTGGACATCATTTTTACCTCCATGTTTGGCAAGGAAAAATGTATGCTCTTTCCATATTCCATCAATGTAGCTATGCAGACTGGGATATAACAAGACTGTGGTACTGTACCTCTCCATTTTTTCAAAGCCAACTTGGCTGCATCCATTTCTGCTTGTTGGATGGAATTGTTCACTGCTTCAGCCATTCTCTTGCCTCGGAAATACACTGCCACTCGATAGGTGCGCCTATTGGTAGGACCTTTACTCTCGATCACTCTATAAAAGAAGAAGAGATATCTTCAAAATGTCATCAATGAGTAGCTAAAAGCAGGAGAAAAAATCTTACTTATAAAGAGGCATGTCGGGTTCTTCACAGTTCAGTCCCCTCAGTGTGAGGCAGCATTGTTGGAGTTTGGACTTAGGATCAATCCAGTCCTGATTGACAATGAATTCTTGAAGACGTGGAAAGAAGCAGACTTTGCAGAAGGTGTAACAGTGTGTCATCCCCTGCAGTAAGGAGATGAACAAGGAAATTTGTGAAGTTGACCATATCAAGAATTATCCAACATTCCAATCCAGTAATGTCTGAAATACCCGGTCAACGAAGATAGCTCCAAGCAAAGCCTCCAACAGATCTGCTTTACTTTTTGTCTTCCAGTTGTTCAATGACAACTTGGCTCTAGCAAAGCGCGTCAACCCAATGTCATCACATACCACTGCCTGTGTTTTATTGTTCACAAGTGAACTCCGTAGAAGCTAAGGAAGGAACAGAAGGTAAGTAAGACCACCTTCAACTATGAACCTCAAGAATATTTTCTTACAACAATTGAAACTTTTGACTACCGAGAGATGGCCCTCATGATGATCAGGGAAATGCTTGTAGAGAAAATCCGAGACAATCAATTGGAGTACTGTGTCTCCCAGGAACTCCAAGCGTTCATTTGAACCACTGCAAACCAACGGCAAGATATGAATTTATGAGATTCAGCCAAGATAGTCACTTATGAATGAAATGGAGAAGCAAAAAACAGCAGAACTCACATGGTGAGGTTATTGAATCCAATACTGTGATCAGTGAAAGCCCTTGCAAGGAGTCGAATATGCTTGAATTCTAATCCAGTATACTCCTCAAATTTCAACAGCTCCTGGACAACACAAATGATTCACTTTGGTAGGAAAACATTTTTTAATGCATGAAAAATACATTATGAAGTGCTGGACTAGGCATTTCAATTATAAGAGTGACTGGCGCCTGATAAAATTCCACAATTTGTTTCAAATAAATAAAAAAGTGAAAAATGTGAAAATATTATCACATGCTGCTGAAATATGAATAAGTTTCAATGATTTCCAAGATATTGACATTTGACTATATCCAGCCAATACTCATGTTCAAATAATAAGCGGATCATTATTAACTAGACTTCTCTCCTGAAACCAGCCACCAACCTTTTAATCCATAGGAACTATGAAAGTCATGACTGAAACTTCTTCAAGCAAAAGAAAAAAATGAAATTTACAATTGACTGTATAGTTGATGTAGCTCAAATTCAAACAAGACTAGATTATGTCTCTGATTCACATAATCATAATCAATTAATACCCATGAATAAATTAGGGGAGATTACACAGAATATAATACAAATTCAGAGTTATGTATACACTCATGCATTCACTTCATGATGTCCCAAAATGCTATCATCAGGCCTGTTGAACAAGGTACTGATAGTAGTCAATGAAGTCTGTGTGCCAATGGATAGTTCATGGAGTCAAAAGACTCATCAACTCATGAATGCTAAACACTACCTGTTATATCTACTATGATTGAAAGTATAATTTCACCTTTCTTCATATTGTGTAACACATCCATTGTGTGTGTTTTCAGTTGTTCAGGCTACATTGCATGCAAGGAAAAAAAAAAAAGGCTTCTGCTACCAGGATTCAAATTAAAAAATTTTAAATCAGAATATTAGTGCTGTATCATCTGAGCCAACCTGTTGCACAAGGAGATCTGAACAGTAAAATTCATTTACTAGCCTCTATTTCTCTCTGGGAGGATAGGGAGTGGAAGAAAACAGCTGGCCTGGGCAAGCTGCCCCTTTCAAGAAGGTACAATTTCAGATACATATGAATATCTCATGATTTATGAACTTTCAGAAGGTCATACCTGCAGCTACCTTCTTTCACTGCCCAGAGCATGTTAGGGCCAGTCTTGAAATCACATTCTCTGAGTGCCTTCATGCAGGCATTTTGCTTTGCCTTAATGATTGCCTTCTCCTCCTCACTCTTATTAAGTCACCATGTTGCTGGCCTCTGTTCATTTTTGCCATGATCATATGTAATATATGGTCAATAACACCTCAAAATTTGTCTATAGAAAAAAGCTGAGTTGGTCAGCATTTGAAACTATCTTTGCTGGTTACGTGAATAACGAAGACCCATAGTTATGTGAATAACAGAATTTTTTAAAAGTAGTTATTTGTGTATGAGCTAAAAATGTGCTTTTCAGCCATCCCACCAGTAAAGATGAATATTTCATGGCAATGATGTCTTTCAACATAACTGGTTTTGATAGAAGGATGAAGTTATGCAAAAAACATTATTCATATAACAGGAAAATGATACAAATTCTCAATGCAGTAGCAAGAAGCAATGGAGCTTTGGAAAACAAAATAGTGTGCTGTGCAAGATGTGATAATATATTTGTGCAAACCCACCCAATTTTTTTTATAATTTTCAACCATTGTAACAGTAGCATTTATCATGAACCACACCTAATCAAGAAACTTTCTGATCTCACACAAATGCATCTTCTGATTCTTTGTAGTAAGAGGCTTGGATGCAGCCACACTTGATCAGTCTTGTTATAGCATGAAAGATGAACCTTTGAGCTTTCAGAAAATAAATAACTTCACTGGATTTTATTAAGTGCATATTTCACAGTTTTGGTTGACATTTCCATGAAATGACCCCATGGCTGAATGAGATACTGAGGTTACCAAGAAGAGGAGTTTCACACACCTTCAGAAAAGGGATAGACTCAATCCAATGCCTGTCTCCTGAAGGCTCTTGTTCCTGGAGAGGATGAAGTGGGAGGTTATTCCATACTTCCAACAAGTCCATTTCTCCTTGAAAAAGAGTTTCTGAGAAGATTCGATCTGCCACCTGAATATGCATCAGATAAAACTTTAAATCAACAGAGGTGGGAAACCTTGTGACTTCAGACATTATAGGAAGTGGACCATACTTGAAGGCCACCATCTAGGAATAAGGCAGCCATGACAGCTTCATAGGAATTAGCCAGGGCATGACGGAGCTCTGAGTCATGACAGAGTTCAGAGCCATGTCCATACAACAAGTACTTTTCCAAGTTCAGCTTCTGTATAATGGGAAGGAAAAGAAATTACATAATCATGTCACTGTTGTCAAACAGTTTTGACCCATTTCATAAAAATGTGTCATATCAGAAGTTCCAACCTTGGCAAGAACAGCCAGGTGTTTATTCTGAACTAGAGCACTGCGGTATGTGGCCAGTCCACCTTCCTCCAAGCCAGGGAACATGAAGAAGAGATGTATGGTTGACAAGAACTCCACAACTGCATCCCCCAAGAACTCCAGACGTTCATAGTGAGTCACATTGGAATCTGTCTCTCTATCTTGTCCAAACAGGGACATGATGTGGATCAAGGTGTTGATACCTACAGAACATACAAAACACACAAAAATATAGTGACAAACAACTTGAAAGGAGGACTTTTGCCTTTTAGTGGGTTGGAATCATGTGAAAATACCCCGTTTGCGCCGGAAGTGAATCATACGATCACCATATGCCAGCTGCCTGATTCCACAGTTGGTCAAAGAGTTGCGAGCATGATCTCGATTTGTCCCATAGTTGCCTTTGTATGATGGATGAGTGAGAGCCAGCTGAAGTAGGTAACGATTCTTGAAGTGATAACTAACCAGTTGCTCAAGGGAGTCCAATGAGCGATGGAAGCGCAAATGACAGATGAGGATAGGAAGTAGCATTGCATGCTGAGGGAGGAATTCAAGCACAATCACTGAGCCCAAAAAGTAATATAAACGGTTAATTTTAATGATTACATATAGATGCTTTTACCTGAATCACATCACAGAAGATGCCTGTTCGCCTGAAGCCTTCAGCAGACAATGCAATAGTCACCTCTCGTTTCAATTTGGAATGGGATCGTAACTTTTGAGCTTTCATTTCAAGGTCATGAAGCTTGTGCTTGTCAGTTTCACTGGGTTTTGGCCTGTTAGCCAACAGGTAGCGGAACTTCAGGTACTCCTTCCATGCTCTCTGGTAACTGTCACAAACCACAAGGAATAACAGGAAGATGCACATAATAGGCTTATCAAACTGTCCTTCCTTTGCCCTTCCCTGACACCCTTGGGTGAAGAGTGACTTAGGGCACTTTCCAGAAACTTGCAAATATGGTCATGTTTTTGAAAATACTAAGGGTGCAGGGAAACATTTTCTTGATACAAAGAACACTTTTCCACATTTCTCAGGAAGGATGATACAAGTAATAATCAGCCTGCAGGTGACAGGCTTTATTTAGTACAATAGTAATTCCCATAAGGTCCCAATCCATTCCCATGAGGAGTGTAAAAGGCACATGCAGGGCAAAGGACATTAGACAATGCACTTTGGCAAATATAAGCCTTCAAAGGGACTGGAGCAGAATTAAAATCAGTTCAACATGAGGAAAAGAATAGGTCACTGACTCGGGGTTGCCAGCATAACTAAGCTGCAGGGGTCTCATCCCAAAATGAATTAGTTGTGGATACTGCAAGGCATCTGGGTTCTCCTGTTCCCTGTCTAATTGGTCAACACGCACTGAACTTGGCTTCTTGCCTGGATATGTGACTATCATGCCTGGAGAGAATCATACATGCAGCTTCAGAAATCTCTTCATGTAAATTAAGTATACATGTAAAGGTGACAGCATGCTACCTTTCACTTTATCAGCAAAGTTCTGCCATTCACTGTCTGGAAGATCAACAAGATTTTTTATTTCCTCAGGTGGAATCAAGTCTTGATCTGCTTCAAGGAGGTACCGCATCACATAGCACATGGAAAGAATCTCCTTTCCATGGTCAGGCAGCTCCCGCACAAACCGGGGAAGAAAATGGAATTGGCTGCATCCATGTTCATCTCCAGCTGCTTTCAAGTCCAAATCATACAGCTCCAAGATATCACGAAACAGAATCTTGCCTGGAATAACATAGGAAGAAACAACAATAAATCTTTGCATCTGACAGATTTTGATAATGCAGGTCAGAATGTTACTCACTGAAAAGATTCAACTCTTCAGCACAGAAGTTTTCAGGAAACTTCTCTTCAACATAATGAATTGCATATCGAATATTGAAGCGTATGATACCACAGACTGGAAATTTTTCCAGGGGGAAGTGAGACAACATGGAGAAACCTTCAAAAATGAATTCATGCCCATCGTGATTGATCACAGTTGGAGTCTTCACCTGCAATAACACCAAGTGAGAAAAAATTACTCTAAAACTACTCCATATAGGAAGATATGATTGAATCATTTTGATGCATATTTGGTGATTGAACTACACACTAAAAAATTAGTTGGAGGAGACACGGTGATCCTGTAATGATGCAGACGAGATACATTATTGGAAAAAGGTTCACATGGAGGCACATGAGTTTCTCCTTCGTAGAAGCCATGCCTGATGCCAGTCTTCCTAGCCTTCAGACTGCAGCGACAGACAGGCATATCATTCATCTATCAAGGAAAATGAGAAAGCAAAATTATAAGGAACTTGAAAAACCTTGAACTCAAGAAATTAACTTAAAGATTTGCTCTACTTCTCCAGGCTCATTGTGCCAAAGCTCTGAATGAAGGCGTTCAGGATGTTGCTGCTTTCGTTCCAATTCAAGTATGGCAGAAGCCTGTGTATCATTTTTCAATTCACCTTCTTCTTCACTTGATTCACTCTCAGAATGTCCACTCTCCCCATCATCTGAGAGAAACAATACCAAGTCCCATAAGTATCAAGAACTAACATAAGACTCAGTAATACTGGACCTATTATAAACTGTCTCCATTTTATCTCACCATGGGAACATCTCTCCACATGCAGTGAGCATGATACATCAGAATTTTCAGAGGATTGCTGGCCAGTGATTCTCTCAACTCTGGTTCCAAGCTGCACCTTGAATTGTTCACAGAGCTTCTTCAACTGGGTGGTGCCTTTCATCAGACGAGGATTCCTACAAACAAGATGGTAACTTTCATGAATTGCTCTACTGAATCTTCTTCCAGATCATTCCAATAAAGCCAACTCACTGTTCATCACGTTCATAAAAAAGCTCTGCAGGAGAACACCGTATGAACAGGACCTGCTCTTCCTGTAACATTTCTTCAGCTGAAATCTTCTCCATGTGCTTCCTTTCTCCATCTGACCCTTCCCTGGATTAGGCAATATTACATGAGCACAACATCAATTGGTCTTATATCAGAACTTCTAGTCTTATTTGGATTTTGGAAGCAAGATTTTGATGGGCAGAATGTAGCTGACATTCTAAATCCTGGTCCCTAATAAGACAAAGAAAATCCCTTGCCTGAAAATGAACAAGTTTTACAGACCATGTGAGATTTGCACTTCTTGTGCTCATTCACATTCAATTTCATTGAATGTGAATACCAACATTTCAAGACAAACTGAGATAAAATGTGTTACAATTAAAAATTAAAAAATATACATTGACCTCAGAAGAGGTTTTGGTTACAAGTATTACACTAGAGGACCTTTCATAAGAGTCTGATATTCAATTCAATTGCCAACAAACATTGTTCACAAAAATTTCCAACACTTACGGGCTCGATTCCATTCCACCATCTTTTGGTCTATCAAATGGTGTCTCTCGCTTTCTGGACTGATTTGAGTTCATATATCTTCCATGTTCTTCTGTACCTCTCTCCCTTGCTCTTGAGTTCTGACTTGGCCTTGTTGACCTCTGTGGCTCCTTTCCAGCACTAAGAAAAAGAGGAAGCACTAAAAGCAATTGATTACAACAGGAAAAAAAAAAAACACGCCAGTTTACAGTTTCAAAAACCCATTTATGCTTTAACCCTTTGATTGCCAATTTTTGAAGAAAACAGAACCTGCTCCGTGCCAGGATTTCTTTGTTGCTTCAGTCCCTTGAGAACTTCATGAATTTTTTGGGTCATAAATGGAATTCTTTTTAAATTAATGACATAATACAGTTTAGTATCCAAGTAATATCTGAGCATTGATGGACATGCTTCTGACCTGTATGAAAATGAGTATACTTTGGCTTGGTTGGTCAAAGGCTTAAACACCAAAAGGGGGAGCCTATGCAAACTAAAATTTCATTTGTGACCTTTTCATCCCCCTCCAAAAAATACAGCATGTCTAGATGGACTCTTCTTTAATTTCATCTTTAAAAATGAATTATTCTGTACTCCAATCAAATCTTCTCTACTTAAATTTCATTGAATCACTCTAAAGGACAGTTCATCAATTGAACAAGTACCAAGTCTTCCTGTAATCTCAACATGTACAATCACAGATCTAGAGTTTTTACTTTGAGGTAGTTCTTTGTTTCCCAAAAACAGCATATGAATCTTGTCTTAGATAATAAAATAGAGCACATGTACACAAGAAGAAGCAGATCAGAATACACTAGGACAGCAGAACCAAGCCTACTTCAAATATCCCCAGTGAAAATGTTTTCTACTAGGTATTGGGAACAATTAATAATTATGGCTGCATTATTAATTGCCTATTCTCAAGCATGGAGGGTCACAACTTCCTAAATCCTTCTCAGTAAAGGTAATAAGACAGCCTTATGCATGTTCTCATGAATGCAATCAAAGCACTCATGCAAGTCAATATAAATGATACATGTCACCTACATCAAGATAAATTCTAAAATGCTACCAGTTTTTGTCTACAAGCTGCACTCTGTTCAGAGAGCACAAGGTATGCATTAACATTGAATTGACATGAATAGTCAAAGTTAACTAAATGAATAAAAAAAGCACATTCAAACTTTGTGGGTATGTAAAGCCACCCAGTAATGGGCACAAGCAAGTCTTTCACCCAATTTGTGAAGCGCTTGCAGTTCACGAAGAAACTTCTCATCTGATGGTTTCACATCATGTTTGGTGTTTAAGCCTATGGCTTACATTACTTTCTCTATGCTTATCAATAATATGAAAGTATCAGAGTACTATTAAAGTACTCAGAATAAATCCAGTCCTATATGAACCCATCACTCTTACAGACATATTACCTAGGTCTGTATACTGGAGTGCTTTTGTGATATGGTTTGAGAACTAAGCATAGGGACCAGATTTGAAATGTGTACCTATGGGCAATACCAGCTATACCCAAATACATAAAATCAAATGCCTGATATTCTGATCACTGACTTGAAATACTCCATTAATGCCAAAATAATTTACTATGATATCTAAGGGTTCATGCTATCACTTGGGATCAGAAGGAAAAGCTGGCATTGCAGACTTTGGGAGCATCTTTTTCTCCAGCTGCTGGCAAAAAATACACTTTCTTTTCATCAGCACTTGACATGATCAAGTCATCAAATGATATCACTCCCAGGCAAGTGGTACATAATGATATGTGGGAGTGATGAACAGACCAGCAAGAATATGACATCATAGGATGTTGGAAGCATCAGCAGCACCAGCAGAGCCACTCATGAAAAGTAGCAAACATTACCTCATGATAAAACAGAGGGTCAATGCTGGACATGTGTGCCATGGTACAATGATATACAGTGCTTATCAAATGAATTCACACCCCCTGCAGTAGGCAGTGGTGTTACTGGCTGTGAGAAGAGAGTGACATCTGTTTTTCATCCAATAAACAGTTATACTATCTACATTTGCAATCCCAGTCATTTACCCAACCACCATAGACCAGAATGATACCTTGAAGAAGCTTCACAAACTTGGCCTAACACAGCCAATCAGAATGACCAGGAACCGAATTTCTTTGAATGAAGTTTGAATGAAGTGAACCTTGAGGAATGTCAGAGCACCAAAGTAAAAATGATATCATCACCTTGTCATCAATGCAATCGCCAAACCAGTCACGTATCACTGGGATGCATTTTTATTTTGACCTTACAATTTTATCATTCATGAAAAGACACACCTGAAAAACATTCCCAACTCTCAATATTCTGGAAATCCAAAAATGAGTAATACAAAATTTTAATTGTTAACTTCTGAATAATTCTCCTATAATTATTCTTAGTTTTCACCAAAACTTCCCATTCCCTTTCCCTTCTATGAAAACCTCAAATGGAAGGTGGTCTATGCTTGATGTACTTTTCAACAAAGAAGATGAAATGGACAATCCAGTTGATGCCTATGTCAATGCATAAAATGTAGAAATGCAAGAAATTTGAAGAGGATAGAATGTAGATGAGAAGAAGTTGAAAATGCTCCTTATTGGACACAGTACCCAGAGCAAAGTTGTATTTTCCACCCCTGAGTCTAAATAATGATTATGAAATCCTTCATTAGTCAATGGGTATCACTGATGTGATTCTCAAGATTGAAATGAATGAGAGAAAGAAGTTAGGGGCATGTCATCATCACCCTAAAAGAGTCTTTCATAAGTTAACGAGTTATTTCGTGGAAAGACTAGGTGAGATTTTAATGGGAAACTCAGAATGGATGAATACACTTTCCTCAACTGCTGAGAATGCAGGACATAGCGACATGGGCGACATATACATTGATTAGTTGGTATTAGCAGTTACAGTATCTGCAGATGCATCAGGGAAAAGTATGCCAAGTCATAGGAGCCCATAGTAAGAGGGGGGTGAATTCATTCGATAAGGACTGCAATTTGAAAGTCACACCTTGAAGGGAAACATCAATGAAGCCAGATCCCTTGCTTGACTTTTCCTTCACATTATGAAGTTTATTTTCAGAATGACTTGGATCCTGAATAAAATGTTTTCCACGTGACTTTTTCATCTCTATAATGTGCGCAAGTTTGACGACTTCTCTTATAGTTAGTAGAGCCAAATATCTACTTTGTAGTGAACTGAACTCCTGTGCATGCAAACAAAACAGAATTTTCCCTGCATAGAAGCAAGAAGTAAATGCCAAATTTATTAAGAGAATGAATTGAAGTGCTGACCTTGCACAAATTTATTATTTTTTGATCAACTGAAGAAGTGGCTATCATGCACATGGAGCAAGCTCATTTGATTAAAGAGGAGTTTTGCTCTGCACTCTTATGCTCGAGTTTCTTCATGGCAAAAAACAATGCAATGGGTGTCTGAATACTGATGGAAAATGTCAGATCTCCAATGTCACAACAAGAAAGAAATTTTTAAAAATGTGAACAACAGTCTGTCCAAGACACCTGTAACACAATTATTAACCCTTTTGTGCCAAAATTTCTATTAGTATCCACTGATTTCAAGAAATTACCTTAGCCTTCACAAGACATTTGCTTGAATAACTGATATCAGAGCTAATGTTCTGATAAACTTTCTAGCATACACCTGATGAGATCAAGCTGAAGACAGAAACAGAAGATAAAAAAATATTCCTGTTTTTCCCTGTCTCCTTTCCCACTTCCTGTCTCTGATTCCAACATGTTTTTTTTTCTCTTTTCCTTCTCAGTTTTCATATGGTCAGTCCCAGTATTTCCAAGATTTGATCAGGATAGGAAATTGCAAGCCCATGCGGGTCAAGCGGCCTTATTCATTCCCCAGCCAGACGGACTATATTGTACTGTACAATACTCAATTCAACAAGACATTTCCCCTTCAAAAATGTTTCCAATACATTGCAATGACTGAAAAAACTAGATACCTCCAACCATAGAGAGTGTTATCAATGCATTGACCTATCGAGACAGTCCTAGTTAAGAGACAAAATTAAGATGCTCATCATTCCATTCAACAGTTAGTTGGACTCTGATAGGGATTATAATGAATGATAAAAGTGGTTCAGTCTTAATGCAGACTCCAGGTAAGCAGCTCTTCCTTTGCTTCAATTTTATTCAACTTGATATTAAGCAGAAGCACTCCAAGTGATACAAACAGTGTTTAGAAATTTTTAAATTAATATTTCACAGGAATTCTGAAAACTGACAAAAAAAAATTGTGCACTACCAATATAAGGGGTTTTCTATGCTAATAGTGGATGTTCCACCCCCTTTTTAAATAAAGTCTTATACCTGTATTTTCTGCAAATTTAATCATTGAGAGAAATATAAGGTAGGATTTGGGAATGTGAAAGGTATTCAGAGGATCACTAATTTACCTTGAGGGGATCAGACCAGTAAACCATCCCTTACGCTTTCCTATTGAGAGTGTCTGTGAGATGTGCTGTGCCTCAACATAAGAAACACTGTGAATGATGCCTTCTAGTAAGGACAGAAATATTTTCTATATAGTTGTCCTCTGATAAGAAAAACTGACATGGGAAGAGGAGTTCAAGTACTGGCACAATTGTATGACACTCAAGCACCCACCATGAGGAGTGAGAGGTCTTCTGAGATCTATCTCTGGCAGATCTCTCCCATGATCCCCTCCTCTCTGAAGTAGAATGGTCTCTAGACCTGCCTCTACCTCTGGAGGAACTGTCCCTTGATAATCTTCGGCTCTCTGGAGATCCTCGTTCATGTTGTCGCCTTCTTTTCCTATCAGGAGACCTCTCCCAGCGGCTAGCAGGACTTCTCCTTGAGCTCCTAGGCCTCTGAGGGCTATAATCTCTGCGTCGGGAACCTCTTTGAGTTTGGCCATGACTGTCTCTGCTGCGAGAGCGACTCCTCCTGCGTGTTGACTCCTCATCACGTCTCCTCTGCCCAGTCTTTCTGTCTGATCTCCCTGAAGCATGAGTTGAAGAGCTTAGAGTTTCCACAAGCTCCTGAGAAGTGTCATTGTGTTCATTTCCAATATTCTCTGATTCTCGACTGGAAACATCTTGTGATTCACTTTGGATTGCATTTAACCTTTCTTCATGTATTGGTCCATGAGCCCCAGCATACCACATTTCAGCAGGCATTGGCAGAGGACAACCAGGATGCAATGGCAGATGCATTGGATTTCCCAGTCCTGGTGGAAAATTCATGGGTGGTCTTGGAGGAAAAAAGGGTACAGGTGGGCCAAGGGGAAATGGAGGTGGTCTAGCACCAAGAAAAGGTGGGACAGAAAACAGAGGAGGGGGGGGAAATAGTGGCATTTCATGATGGGGTAGCAGGCCAGGGAAGGGGCCTGGGAGATGGGGCCTCCGAAAGCGAGGACGAGATTTCATGGTTCTGGATTTTACCTCAGCCTTGACAGGTCAGTCTAGGCTGGGCAATTAGTCAAAGGAAAAAATATGCAGATGGCTCAACAAACTATTCATATCATTCAATATCAGCTTCATCTGCAACAAGATATAAAAGACTCATAATCAATCATACAAGCTTTCAGGAAATAATACAATAGGCCTAAAACATTTTTGGTGAAGTGTTTTTTCCCCTTCCCCAAGCTTTGTCCTATCCTGGAGTCCCAAACAGGTTCTACAGCTATTTGCCAACAATCACTAAAATTAAGATTAGGCATATATATGACCATGAAAATTTGGGCTAACCATTGATTTATATGCCTATTTTCAAGGATGACCCCAAGGACAATCCTATCCACATTCTAGCTACAGTCATTTTAACAAGTCCAAATTATGATTTCCAATAAAATAAAGATGCAAGTAATCATTAATTAATTTCCTAACATTCCGTATTTACAAAACTAGGAATTCTCCATTAAATAAATGACTAATCACTTCAAGCCCATTCTACTTGATTTCCATCTGGGGTTTTGCCTGCAAAGATATACAGGGTGGCTCAAGAAACCAATAACATCTTTCCAAATAAAATTTCTCCCCAACCAGCTAATCTTTGAGTTTAAACAGACTAAGAGGAATCAAGTAACTCTCTCTTAATATGCATGTATAATGACATGCATATTGTAAAAATTGGTTGGGAAAGCTAAAAGTTACAAAAATGCAGAGGTCTCCCATTGGTCAGTGAACATGCTCAAGATCACTTGAGACTGTACAATATGTCAATTGGAAAGACTTATTTTCAAGGCCAACTAACTTATAGACACGATCATTTTGCAGTTTTCACCTCTTTCTATGTGAACTAAAATACTTATGAAATGTCATTGTTCCAAGTGGATAAACTTCCTCCAATAACTGCCATAAGTACAAATTAAAATTGGAGAAATTATTTTAGCAATTTGGCAAACAAAAGAGACCAACTCCTAGCTTTTCAAGTCAACTCAACTTTGCAACTGCTTCACCTGGACAAGGGAAAATTTTTGGGAATAAGCGATAAGATTTTTAAAAACAATTTTATTATTATTTGAACTCAAACTTTTTGTTCTGTACTCTGAGGAACTATCAGTGCTTTGCTACTGACATGGTCTCGAGTATTTCATTTCAGGACCATCTCAGTAACATAATACTGACATATAATCACAAAACTCTTCCTTTTTGTCTTACTGATTCTTTGAAATAAGTTAAGCTTATACTATAAAATTGAATTTTAGATGTTTGAGTAATGCCCAACTGGGGCAAAATATGAATGCTGATCATTCCAGCAGTGAAGAAAATTATATGCAAGATTCAGCACCTGCATATTATGACAATATAAAGGAAAAGAAAAAACAAAACATCACAAGAATCATGAGATATAACTTACACCAGATATAGTTTCTGGTTACCTGATGCTTAAGTTGTCAGACTAATACTCCTGACAAAGGCCAGTAGCTTAGTTCTTTTGTCAGTATCACTCTACCAGCATGGTCCCTGGAAGAACTCAATCTCAATGCTATAATCTAGGTGTAGGACTCATTGCGTTAAGAGTTAATGAGAGATACATTCATAAAGTACCTTCTATATCCCATGCTGGTGTCTATGTTTATTGTTTGGTAAACCAATTTGGTCATAATGAGTCAATAAATTATATGTAGAATTATATGTAGAACAGTGGTCTTGATATAATTTCTGAGACAAGTAAAATATTGGCATTTGCATTTTCTTGAATTTAAGAGAAGTCCTTTAACCTGTTAACTGGGAATGATGAGTTTATTCAAAATGGGATTTGAAGATAAGGGATTGATATTCAATGAAACATTATTTCCTTTGAATAAAAAAAAGAATTAAATGAAGCTCAATTGCATATGTAGGTTGCTGCAGAAAAAAGCACCAGCATCATGCCAGCCCCTACAGAAACTAAAAAATTAGCAGGTTAAACAAAATCATGTTGACAAGTATTGAAGAAACTGCATGTAATTGATTTTTGAGATCTCCCTTTGCACTGAATTTGTGATTACCCCAGTAACAGACAGCAAAATGTTAAATTATGAGGAAACATGCACCAATACCCACACACATAATTAGGGCATACTCAGGGGTCAATGTTGGGTTCACTAATTTATCTCAAATACAAAAAATTAGAAATACAAAAACTATGCTGTGACCCATGAGCAAATCAGATTATATGCTGATAACACAAACATTTTTTTTTTTATTCAAATACAAGGATACTAAGAGGGCAAATACGATCAGACCTGAGTGTGTATGTGGTTTCAAATAACCTATCACTCAGTCAAAAAGTCAAAATTGGTCATATTCCAAAGTCCTCACAAAAATGAAACCTTTGAATTTAAGGTTAAAAATTAGCAGTAACCTCTTATAGGAAACATATCATGACAAACATCTAGGAGTTATATTTGATAATCATTTCAACTAGAAATTGCTTGTGAGGAATATTTGTAAATATCAGGTTGTAACATATTTTGCATGATGCACCCATCAACAGGGTAGCGACATCATTTATTGTGAAACTGTGCACGTGGGGTGCATGATATCTTCTAATGTTTTGTTTGCATTCTAATGATTAGTTTTTCTGCGAATTTTGATGAGTTTACATCACACCATTTCACTTTTATTGAATATAAAAGATGGAAATGACGAAAGAGCATATTCCACATGTGATGCTATTTGAGTTCCAGAGAGGGAATAATGCTGGTGAATTCGAAAGAAACATTCAGTGTTTACGTAAAAGATGTTGTGAATGAATGAATGTGTAGGAGATGGTTCGAGAAGTTCAAGAAATGGAAACTTCAGACTGAACGATGAACAACGAACTGGATGACCAAATGCATTAATGATGAGTTGCTGAAGGCTACAGTCGAGGAAAACCCTACTGTAACTGTAAGAGAAATTGGCCTAAAACTCAATGTGAGCCATATGACCATTCATCATCATTTAAAACAGTTGGGAAAAGTGGTGAATTTTGGAAAATTGATTCTGCATGATTTGTCACCAGCAAATCTTCAACACCGAATTGACATTTCCACATCACTGCATTCTCATCAACTCCAGGAACCGTTTTTGGATCGGAACATCACTGACGAAAAATGGGTCCTTTATAACAATATTAAGCGTTGCCATCAGTGGCTTAGTCCTGAAGATAAGGCTAAGTCACAGCCAAGAGATGGGCTCCATATAATGAAAATTTTACTATGCGTTTGGTGGGATATGCAAGGAATCATTCATTTTGAGCTGTTGATAGCAAACCAAACCATCATGGCTGAAGTCTACTGTCAACAGCTCCAACAACTGAAGACAGTATTAGAATGAAAACATCCTGCATTAATCAATCACAGAGGTGCTTTGTTCCACCAGGATAACACGTGCCCTCATACCGCTCGAATCACCTCTGCCCAACTGGAGGAGTTTGGCTGGGAAAAAATGTCTCACCCACCTTATTCCCTAGACATAGCACCTTCAGACTACCATCTATTCAGAAGTCTGCAAAATCATCTAGATGGAAAAAAACTGCATTCCTGGGAAGCTGTCGAATATGAAGTGTCCTCATTTTTTATTCGAAACCCAGGGAATTCTTCAATCATGGCATCGAAAAACTTGTGAACAGGTGGAAGGAGATTATAGACAGAGAAGGGAATTATATTGATGACTGATTTTTCATTTAATGATATTGAATTTTTATTTTGAAAATAATAATAAAATTCAAGTAAAATATATGATACAACCTGATGTGTAAAATATTGGATTGCCTAGCAAAACAGGGTCTTAGTACCAAGATCAATATCATGGAATTTATACTTCACTCTAATCAAGTCTCACCTTTCCTACTGTTTAGAAATCTGGCGTAAAACACAAAACACAATTGCATAGTATAGGAAGAGCACTCAATAAAACAATATATACAATGACCAATCTGTATCCAATGGCATCAACAATTTTGCTTTTTAAATTTCAAAATCGAGTCAATTATGTTAAGATGTCTAATATTAAGAAACTCAGTCAGCTGAAGATATATAGTAAATACGCAAAAGTTGAGCCCGTTTCCTTAGTACAATGTTGTGCTGCACAAGAGAGGCTCCATAATGAACGAATGCTTCACGTGGAGTTATGAGTGTGTTTATCTGTAAAAGTTGGATTGTGATCTACAATATCAGCTTGAAAGCCTTTGCATCATTAGTAATCATATTGCAAGAAGCATTGAAATCCACTAATATATCTGGACGCATGAATCGAACCAATGGCACAAAAGTCGACCATGCAGTTCCTCAAAGTCGGGCCTGTGATAGTGCTTCCTAGCCTCACTAAGCATCCACCACCCGGCATGAAGGCCTTAGCAAGCCTCTATACACGCACGCCGCTCACCATGTTGGCTTGCAGAGCAAGGAATGATTGATTTTGGACAGACTGTATTTTCCCAGCATAATTGCCTGCGAGGTACCTCCAGGAAGGAAGTTCAAAGAGGGGACTAGCTGGATATTGCTTGACAGACAAACTTGATTAGAATATTCATGGCCTTTGATATAGATCTTAGGCTGACCATGGAAAGATAGATGTATGGTTAGCACCACCAGAGATGTGCCGTTGTACATATAAATGCAGAATTCCCGACCTTAGGCGTGTGCTTCACTTGCCTATGCCTACAACTAGGGATCAACTTTCAGAGACCCTCACTGCATTTCGGTCCAGAAAACTGACCCTCTAAAATATCAAATCCCACAAACATAATAATGTAACCATTTCTTACAGCATACTCTTCAGTTACCTTAGAACACTATATTTATACCATCGATGCTTAGAACCACCAGTAAGTACCACAACATAATATATACCAGGGACATTCGTAACCGTGATCTCAGCGTGTCTCACTTAAAGTAAGAAAAATGTAACTTAAGGAGCTCGTTTCCGGTCGACTATAAGGATTAACAACGATTCATACTCTGTGAGACACATTTTAAGCTTTACTTAAAACATGGATTCAAAGATGAAGACCCAGAGGGCAGTATGTCATTACAATGGCAAGGTCCGTGAAGTGAACCGGAATTCCATCCAATTTCGTTCACAGGTAGACTTTCGTGTACTTGTGTTATCACTACAAAACAACATTTGACATAAAAAAGGCTATGCCTTTTAAATCCAAACAATTACAGCTACAAATTAATAAATGCCATCTCAGTGTGGATCCTTGAACAGTTATAACTGACACTAAAAAAAAAAGAAGTCTTAAAAAATTTAATCAAAACTAAAGGACCATTTTATTTTCACCCAAATTTAATTTGCAACATAGACATAGCCATTATTGAAACTCTAGGTTTTCACCTAGTTAACCAACCTAAGCTGGCAAGATGGAGCTAGTGATTCTTGGGCAAGCCCAAAATCTGCAGCAGAATTCTTCTTTGTTCTTGCGTTCACAATTGTTGCTTTCCCTCCATTATAATCATCAAGCCATCAAACACCGGCTTTTGGTGTACGTGTCTTACATGCTAATGCCTGTATACGTGTGCATCAAAGAAACTACTCTTTCTCCAAGAATTCTAGGCCTAACTTACATATTTGCCAGGAAGGTGACTGGCCGATGAGAATAATTACAACGTTAAGCCTGCCTGACACCCAATTTCCATTTCTGGCAGCAGAATCTTATTCTATATTTAATAGCTGCAAGGTGATTGTAATTCACGTTCCCCTATCCAGGCTCCCTCCAAGGACGCATGTTAGCATCTAGCCCGGTTCACCGTGCCCGACATGTCTTGATGAAGAGTTGCTGAAGATCCCTAATACGTTTAGGAGAAATATCGAATTTCCTGGTATTTTTATGCGCATTTTATTTAATTCTACGCTGAAAACTTGTTATGTGAGTCTTTTAATACGATCTGGCAGCTTGTTATTTTGCTAAGTACAATTTTGTACCGGCTTATAAACCCAAATCCGCCCCCTTCTTTGCAGCATTGGCTTCAGGAGGTGCGAAGATGTCTGCTCAGGACGCAGTTGGTAAGCCTACTTGTTTCTTAATTGCCAGGATAAAGATGCAATGATTGCACTTCAGTCATCTTCGTTTGCTTATGTCTAACTTGGATTTTATTCCAGTTGTTCCGAGAAGTTTTAGACTGTTGGAAGAACTCGAACAGGGATTGAAAGGGGTGGGTGATGGAACCATCAGTTGGGGGTTGGAACATGATTCGGACATGACCCTCACATATTGGACTGGCATGATTATTGGACCCCCTAGAGTAAGTAATCTTCTGACATCTCAAAATGCAGAAAGCCTGACTGTGATGAATGGGGCCAAAAGCTGTTTGCATTTTGATGCATAAGTGTTCTATGATATGGAGAAATGTGCCTTAACCCTTTGAGGAGTAGGTTTTTTTTTTTACGCCTGCCAGATACCCGTATTATATATATGGAGGCCAGGAGGGACGTCAACCTGAAAATATACTGGCATCCTCCTCAAAGGATTAAGACATTGTCAGACACCAAGAGACAAGAGTCATGAAAGTGAAGGAATCAGGATTAAAGTCTCATAATGTTAAAATTGTGTATCAACCAACCTAGTAAGCCTGTTGTTGATGGAAGATCCCATTGCAGTCATCATAGATCTTCCCTTTCTGGAATTGATTGTTTGTGCATTTCATAGGAATGTGCAAACATATACTATTAGGGGAATGGGAGGACATTCCCATCAATCATAAAATTCTATATGCATTTTAAAAAATGGGTCTACTTTTTTATTAAATCCATTTAGGTATAGAGTGCATATATTATGAATCACTGATTTATTGAAGTTCTTATTGACTTCTTTGACTCATGCAATTGGAAAATAAATTCTTAAAGAAAGTGCAAAAAATATCTCTGAGACTGTCAACCAAGCAGGACACCCAGGATATGATTTTCTTTCATGAAAATCATATTTTACCCTGCTTTATCTTTGGTTTCAGTTTTTGACAATTCATGGATAAGTATGACTGGGAATGGGAAATCCTTCACCCAACAGAGGTAAGATACTTAAATAGGTGAAATATAAGAACCTGTTTGTATAGTGGGAATCGTGATCCTTTTTTTCTTTTTTTTTATGCCATGAAGACATTTGATGAGGCTAATCAAAGTGGCATACCTTAGAAATATCATCTGTTTTAATAGAATAAAAAATCTAGATTTTTGGTAAGAAAGGTGAAGGGAAAAGTAATTAGATTTCATGCAAGGAGAAAATGGGCATTAGTCATCTATTTGTGAGTTGGCATTTTCCCAACTCTGTAATAGGCAAAGTCCCTGGATGGGCATCCTGCAGAATTACTTTAAATATAGAAATAACTGGATATGCATACAAAATTCAGGGAACAATACTATTGTGGGCAAACTTAATACATCTCCTCCTTTCCATCTTGAAATACCCCCTTATGCATTAATCTCCTTGGCATTTGGCCCAAACCTATCTCGGGGTACTGGTTCCATGTAAATGATGTTTGACCCGAGTGAGTCTTGGGCTGAAGCTAATCATTGCTTCCTGTTGCATTAAACCCATGATTTTCCATGCGTGATTGAATGAGTAGACTTAAAATGACATCTATTGGAATCTATGTGAAAATACACTTTCAAAACATTATATATATCATATACCTGCAACTGCAAAGAAAGAAACACCAACAAGAATGTGTGTAGTCTGCTGTTTAAGGAAAGATGGCTCTGGGAAAAAAAAATTCAAAAAGAGACAAGGTATGTTGTCCTCAGTGTGATGTGGGACTATCACACAAAGAAAAATTTCTGAAAGTATGAATTTTATTTCTGACCTGTTATATTGTGTGTGTGTGCTACATGCAAGGCATTAAGCAGTAGATGCATAATAAGTCTGTGGATTTTCAGCAGAAGGAGTATACAGAGTATAAAGCTTGAATACCTTGTGCAGTGGGAATAATGTTTTTTTTGAGTAAAATTAAGCTGGAAAATGAAACCCTGAGGGAGTTATTGAAAGATATTTTATACATTAAAATGTAATTAATTTCTATCCAGGCAATTGCTGAATAAATGTGTATGTATATAAATATGTGTTATAAGACAAATTAGGAATTGGAAAGGCACAGATGAGTGACCAGAAGGGTGTTTCAATCAGGCTCAACAAATAATTGCTTTTATGCCAAAATCTAGACCTTGGTCATAAGATCTGAATTGTTTTATATCCTATGCATTCCTAATCTGTATCCAAAATATTGGCTAATGCATTGAATGGATTTTATCTATAACAGACACCGTATGAAAATAGAATCTACAGCTTGAAGATGGAAACAAGCCCAAGGTACCCAGATGAAGCTCCTAGTGTGAGGTTTCTCACAAGAATTAACATGACTGGTGTCCATAGCACCACAGGATTGGTGAGTTATTTGTTTTACATGTTTCAATTTTTTGTTTTAGTGACCATGTGCTGACTTGAATTTACTAGTTGATAAAATTCTATCATATGCATATAATTAGTGAATGTGCTCTACTTTTCTTACAGATTGATCCAAAAATTGTTCCTTTGCTCTCACACTGGCAGCGGAGCTACACTTTGAAGAATGTGCTGTATGAGTTGCGACGGCTAATGATGATGAAAGAAAACTTGAAGTTGTCACAACCACCTGAGGGAAGCTCCTTCTGAATTTGGCTAAAATTTGGCTAATTGAGCAAGTACAGATCCCTTGCAATGTCCCTTCCATGGGAGGGGAATCCATGCCTTCTAACCATGACTTGTGATATCCTTGAAATAGGCCTCAATGATGGGCAATGCATGTATGCACTTTGACATGCGTATCCTGTGTAGTTCACCTGTGATCCAAGCATGATAGGCAAACACCAAAGTAGTTGATTAGGACTCCTTTCCAGCTCCTTCATGTTTGCACGCATGCATTCCATTGTCATCATTTGTCACTGGATCAATGGCCCAGACCTTTTTGTTAGTCCATTGGTTGTGGATTCTCAGTTTGGTGTCTCCCGTGATGGGATCAGTATATGAATTCCTTAACATTTATTCTTGTTTTGTCACTTTAACCATCTCCTTTGTGAGTGGTCTGCTACTACTTCCTCTCCATGGTGTCTTGTGCTATGTCCTGGTCCTCCCCTTTTCCCTGTATTGTGTCTCAATGACCTCCACGTGTGGTGGTGTGGTATGAAGTTCGTTCATGAGTCAATATATGAACTGACAACCAAATCATTAAGAGAAGGAATATACAATCAATAAGTTAATGCATTATATACCTTAAGAGACATGGCAGTAAACAAACAATGTATCAAATGTTGAAATTTGCTGGAGTGTGTTAAACGTAAGCTAACCCTCATCAGTATTGAGAATGATCTTGTTCCTATGCACCTTGACCCATCTCCATGTGTCTTTGATGCGTGAAAATTTCTTACCAAACATGTTCCTGCTGGAGTTCCAAAAATGAAGGAATTATTGCAATGCCATAAAGCCTCCAATGTCTTCTGTCATTGATAAACTTTTTGGTGATGAGACCCTGTGATTATAGTGTAGTCATTTGATCATATGGAGGCATCTCAATAGGCCAATGTGGAGAACCTAGTCTGAATGGTTAGAGCCCATGAAGTGCTTCATTCCAGCTACTCAAATGTGGAACTGATTTTTTTTTTTCCTAGTTCATAATTTTCTAGACAGTGGTCTTAGATGCAGTCTTTGCTCTTGATCTTGTATGATAAGTAATGAATAGAAGACTCCATGGTGTTGCTGGTGATTCCCATGCTCTTGAGGAAAGGTTTCTCCATCTGTGTTTGTGACCTAGGTTTTTCTGACATTTGCTAATGCCTGTTTTATGCAAATGCTCAATTAAATTTTGTTATGCCCTGTTCTCTTCCATATTGCCATAGTAATTTCCTAGCATATGCACAGACTGGTTTTATTTTTTTGAAAGCACACTTTTCCAACTGGGCATAGACATTGTAATGCTCATGACTCAGTTCATCTCAAGATGAACGTGTCTTTACAAATTAGTCAACACACATCACTCACTAGTGCTTTAGGTTCAGTTGAGAGGTGTTGCTTTCAGTTTCAAAGTTTATTATGCAAAAGTAGACAGCTTTTCTAGGTGAAGAATCAGAATTGTGGCTGTTGCAACAAAACATTATGATGGTTACGTTAGAAATTTTCTTTTGTGATAATATTCCCATTAATGAATCCACAATTTGCCAGTAACAGCAAACATATGTAGACTGGCAGTTTTGTTGGCTAAGTTAAATTCATGCAGTATTTGTTCTAAATTATGCTTTTGATCGGTCAACTATTGGTACCCAATCTGTGCAATTCAAAAGAAGCCTCACGCCCATTGATATTCCTAGCAACTTTCTGTCACCTCCTGGGACCTATTCCACAGAAGATTTACAAGTTACAAACGAAATGGCTGTATTTACAAGTATTTGTATTTTCTGTTCCACAGAGTTTGCACTAGTGCTTGTAAATTGGAAAGTACAAGGTACTGGAGCCTGCTCATATTCCAAGTTCTGAGTGCATTCCAGAGTTCTCTATTGAGTAGCACTCATGCAATGACACCAAAAGAGGTTTAATCAATGAAAGCGTATGGATATATTGTATAACGAGGAGCTGGATATGCAGAATCAAATGTGCCATCTCTTGGCCTGAAGGTCAGAGTCTATTTATTCCAGATAGGGTGCAATCAAATATGCCCAACAAAGTGGGGAAGCTGTTAGAGTCCATTGGTAGTGCACCAGAGTCCACACTTATATTCAAGGTTAATTCTATCATAGAGGGCGCCAAGAAAAGTTGCTGTGATCCTTTAGCTGGCAATACTCGTAGTCAGGTATTTCCTTTCCTGCAGTACTGGATTTTATTCTTTCAAGTTTTTTTTTGCGATGTAACCACATAAGCCCAACTCTACTGTATTAAAACCACGTACCACATTAAAAAAAAAAAAAATATTCTGTGGAATGGGTCCCTGGAATGGAAATCTTTCCTGATGAAAATGGCTGGATAGCAAGTACCCCAGTCTCTTCATTGCTTTTAGTCGCAACTGCTTCCGTGAGGAGCTGGCACAAGAGTTCTGGATGGTAGAGGAGTTGATTGGTGAAGTTCTCAGGAAATGTTTCCTGTGAACTTCACCAATTTGGGAATCACTCCTGCCCTTTTCGACCAATATCTTGAGTCACGGTCAAGCGCTCATCATTCCCTTTAATGGAAGCGTGTAAAATATACGCCCTCATTCACTTTGGTTGCCATGATTGCATAAAAACAAGCCACAGAAGGTAATTGCTTCCCCCGCTCAACCTTCCATGGGATAAGGGAGCCAACGGTCACTAAAATGCATGCCAAAGAAGTTGGCTTTCCTTCTCACTTTATCACTACTTTGGCTTTACCGTTGAACATTTGCACACGAAACAAACTATGTATCCATAATCCGAGAGCCACGTCTGTCAAATTTCCACACTACCTTCCTTCGTTCCGGATGTTTTTTGGAGGAGCAGACCACATCTAAGAACCGACTTTATCATTCATTTTGGCTTAAGCAGTGAACACTCTCAATTGAAACTAGCCTGATTACATTATTAGACCCATCACAATGCCTAAAGTCATCACTCAATTCCTCATTGTTTGGGGGCATCCAGCCATCCCGCCAGAAGAATGAAACCATAATTACCGCTTTTAGACGCGGTGCGGAAAGAAGAGCTGCCTCACTTTCCAGTTCTTTGTTCTTCATCGCTTCTCGAATGCGATGGAGACCATGTGACTGGCCTTTTTTTCCATTCGAGATGGGATCATTTCCTAAGAGAAACTTTTACAGACGGAGGCAAAAAAATGCAAATTTCCTTATCATGGGACCAAGTCTCATCTGAGTCAAACGGGCTCGTAACGGTCTCAACTGCGACGTCCCTTCCAAGAAAGAGCGAAAATAGGATTTACGTTCCTTTCTTTCTCCACCCTCTTCGCCCCCTAGTCCTATTCGCGAGGGTGTATTCACAATTCAACAGTTCCACTCAACCGAGGATTTATGTGGGTCATGAGACGTGGCGACGTTTTCCTCTCATCCCACTTCAAGTCTGCATCTCTCCTTCGATCACGATTCCATCATTCGCAAATCTCAAATCTGCATTTGTCATGAATAGCAGTCATGCCGTTTATCCTGGATCCTTGAGTAAGCGGTACTCAAATCGCCAATTGCAATATGTACAATACGAGTAAGTCTTCCATTGGTTGAACTGAGAATTCGGTCCATCTTTGCTATGCTGCCCAGAGGCAAACAAATCTAATTACCCTTCTAATAGGGTTACACATTCTGATGCGAGAGTTATGCAATTACACCAACATCTCAAGTATTCTGATTGGAGTGGGACGCAGCAGGAAAATGTAAATATACACCCCGGGACAAATTTAAACGACACTTCCTGGAAGATTCGGACATGGTCTTTTACTGGAAGGCTGAGGAGGAAAGAAACTAATCTTTAGCAAGCGAAAAGCAGTTAATCTGTGCATTGGTGGATTGACGAATTCTGGCAACAAAAAAAACGAAGTTTCGGTCCGATCGACACTGATCAGGGTCAATGAGACAAACCTCATCGAACGACCAGGTTGGCGAAATTGTCTTTGAACTGACGGTTAAGCGCTGAAGCACAATACCAAAGTAGCTCATGTCATTATTGAGTGACACGACAGCAAAGTGGCTCGAAGGAAGACAAAAAGGAAATTGGCGTTATCAGCAAACCGCCACCCGCATCCTCCATTCCTCTGGCGTTCGGCAGCTCTTCTTCATATTGACTCATCCTATGAACGAAAAAATTTCCTCGATTTTCTATTGTCCATTAACCCTTTCAGGTCGGATGTCGGACATCGTTGGTAGCCATCTGTACAAAAAATAGACTGGAAAGGGTTAAGAGTTCCTGTTCTATGTTTTCGATCTGTAGGACTCGTACCCGACCTTCTCTACAAAAGAATATTCAAGAATCGATCACGCCCTCAAAAGTAAGGTGATAACCTTTCTGGACGTGTGGATTTCTCTTGGGGCTCCACTAGGCAAAAAAATTCCATCGGCGCCTTGCTTCTCAAAACTGGTGCAGTAGTTCTTGCTGCGTGGGACTCCTTGAATTTTTAAATGTAAACGCTATTACTGCTTTCTGTGTGGAGACTCCCCCCTCCCCCAACAAAAAAAAAAATAAGTATTATTATTATTAAATAAATGAATAATAAAAACCAGCAGTCGCTCCGAGGTATGTCCATCGATGCCTCATTTGTCGGATTCCGAGTGGCATGTCTCTCTGTCAGTCTGCGTGTTCTGGATAGTAAATTCCAGCACTGTCAATACAATAATAGTACTTGGGACTCCCACAAGGCCAACTCCTGAGCTTAGAGCTTGCCTATTCCAACGGTACCACACCTGTAGAAATGGGTCCACTGGTCAGCGTCGGTCGTGTGTTTTGGGTGAGTATTATATAATATTATTATATCAATATCAAATCTTAATCGGTATTCGAAAGTCCTCCCAATGAAGTTTAGCCGAGTTTTCCGGTTTCAAGAAGGTATTAGGCGACGACTATCAAATTTAATGGAGGCTTACAAAAATAGGAACAGCCAGAAGGAAACGTGGAGGTTGCATTATCCCCCTCCCCCTCCACCCCTCCCCCTACCCCCACCCCTTACCCCCACTCTCAGCAGGAACCCTTCGTAATCGATTTCGCCCCCAAAGAACGAAGTCTCCGGGTGTGACACGAAGAAAAGTTGGCAGCCCTATCCCGATACCACACCTTTAGAGCGAAACAAAGCGGCAGCACGTCATTGGTCGAAGTCGGTCGAGGCTACACATCATTTTTGAGATAGACCCTTCTGCGCATTTTGATATCAAGTTCTATTTAGTAGTTTCTATGCTAGAATCGAACATAATACCTAGTAATGCACTCTGCTGCAAAGCAAGAAGAGTCCAACAGTACTTGATGTGCTGAAATGCATCCAGTAGTTTTTGCTATAGATTGGTCTGTGTTTTGGATATTGAATACTTTCCATCACTTTCGGTGCTAGATCAGTGCTGGAGACCCATGAAATGCTCATTGCTAGAGCAAGTTGAGTCCAATGGTGCCAAATTCCTCGTAATTGTTCTTGTAGTTCATGCTCCCGATTAGACTTATTTTCGGTCCCCGAGCAAGTACTTTCAGATCTTCAGAAGTGACGGACCGAGACAGATGAAACTTAGTGGACTGAGAGACGTTGGCGAGTGAAGGGGGTGCACCGATTTTTAGCACATGCGTGAGCGTGAACGTGAGTTACGTTAACTACCTTTTTTCCCGGTCACGATTATATGCCAATGATGGAGCGTTTGCACGGACGAGAGACTCGGCATCGTCTCCTTACGACAGACAAAAGTGATACGCCAAGGAATAGAAGCAGGAAGTCTGGAGACATGCTCCGTGCGAGATGGGAAGGCCTCGAGGTTCGACTCTCCCCCGCGATGACTCAAAGCGATACGAGCGGCGAGAACCTTCGGAAGGGTAAAACATGCCTCACGGGTTCCTTCGAGTGAAATTCAGTCAGACGCGTCTCGACGAGCCGGGGTTCCCTCTTTCAATGGGGGAAGAGGAAGGCCATTGAGAGCGAGAAGGAAGGGGCTGCCCGTCGTATTTTCAGCACCGCGAGTCGGAAGAGAGACAAATTGACAGGAGATATTTCAACTCGGGCGAGAAATAGAATTCCTCCATTTTCAATTGGGACGGTGTCCGTTGCGACGACCCTGAAAAGTTGTTTCTTTTCCTTTTCCTTCCCTCTCCGTCTCATCCCCGGTGATCTGTAGGCGGTCGAGAGAGCGCGACGGAATCCATTCCGCTCATCCCTTCCTTCATCCCGCTGCTCCG